CCCGGGAGCCTGATACGAGGCCCTCGAGATGCCACCAAGCGAACACGTACCCAGGAGTGACCCACATTTACATACATTCACTCGGCCATGTCCCCACCCCCACCCAGAAGCCACTTACAGCTTTTATCTGTAATTCCAGCTGGATATCTTACAAGAACAGTCCCAACTAAGCACTTTCCTCATGAGCCCCACTAGAAGCACCCTTCCCAGGACTCGAACAGAAAACCCAGTTTGCAAGTCTTTTATGTGACGCTCCGGGCAGCAGATTTCGTTCGACCGCTACCCTGTTCGGGATCCTGAAAGCTGCGGCTCCCTGCTTAATTCTAAAGCACATGAATTACAGGAGAGAAGTGCTCTGATAAAAGGAACTTGGTTCAACAGCTGGACTGGGATCCAATCACAAGTCATGCATGAAATGCAGTCACATCTTATGCACTGAATGCAACGCGTTCCAGTGAGCACTTGATACAAAACTAGAGTCCCTAAGTGTTTGATGATGTCTGACTCACCCTCTCTGTATTTCAAATCAGATCCAGACACCAGATATCATCGTCAGTATTGCATTGGCTCCTGCTCTTTCCCATACACCCAGTCGGTGGTCACCAACATCCAGTCATATATCATACTGCACTTTGCCATAGACCCAGTGGTTACCAACATCCAAACATATACCACACTGCACTTTGCCATAGACCCAGTGGCCAGCAACATCAAATCATTTATCATACTGCACTTTCCCATAGACCCAGTGGTCACCAACATCCAATCATATATCATACTGCACTTTCCCACAGAGCCAGTGGTTACCAACATCCAAACATATACCACACTGCACTTTCCCACAGACCCAGTGCACACCAACATCCAATCACATATCATACTGCACTTTCTCATAGACCCAGTGGTCACCACCATCCAATCATATATCATACTGCACTTTCTCATAGACCCAGTGGTNCATCCAATCATATATCATACTGCACTTTCTCATAGACCCAGTGGTTACTAACATCCAATCATATATTATACGATACTTTCCCATAGACCTAGTGCACACCAACATCCAATCATATATCCCTCAGTATACAATATCATATTTTATTCTGCTTTTCCTGCTGCCACTTTACTCAGAGCCTCTGGCTGTAGCCTATCAAATGACCAGTTAGAGCAGAACAGCAGAGCCAACAAGACCCCACCCTGGTGATGCCATTATCCAGTCAGATAAGCACAGCTGTCTGGATCAGAACCGCACCATCAGCAGCTGTATCACTGGGCCCTAGTTCTCCACAATCAAAACAATTTATATGCTGCACATATTCATATACACAATCATATACGCGTGTTATTTTTATTTTTAAAGTTTTGCCAGTAATGGCACTTTGAGATCATTGTTTTTTATTATTATGACTACCTGTAAAAGTCATGTAAATCACTGTAAAATTCCACGTAAAACGCCCTACACTAAATACAATTTGATTTACGGTTCAGTAACCAAAACATAATCCCGCATGCATACACATGATTTACATTATAGATGCATTTTAAATGATACCTTTAATTGCTGAGGTAATTTTACCTCATTACCATTATTCAAATTTACAAGACATATAATAATTATGGCCTCGCTATAATTTAACTTTGCCCTGCGCCTTGCTATTTGTAATTGTACTAAAATGCATCCACTCTTTACTAGAGGATTCCTATAAAGAACTGTGATTACTTTTAATTTAGTTTCTTGGACATTTGAAAGGAATGTCTACTTCTAAACAAACTATGCAGCAATGAATAAACGTGACTGTCAAGGCAGATCCGCCCAGGGCACAAATCACTGGACAGCAGCTGCCGGGGAGAAATAAAAAGCTCTCTGTGCTTAACGCCATTCAACTGATCAAATAACCCCCGTATTATACCACACAATACCCAGTTAAAGTTTAATGTTCCTTCAGTCGATACAAATAATACGTTTTTGTGATTTCAGGGATTGATTCTATATTTTAAATAGCCGTCGATGCGCGAAGCCGCCGAATTAGGTGTTATAGTCAGCTAAAACGGGGAATGCCGAATTAAATCAATAATTGCAATGAGCAAGGGCGGTCTGGGTTAAAGCCGAAAGCACATATTATCCCTTTCAAACCCCCAAGTTTCGGGATACATGATGCCTCTGGTGCAGTGCCATTACGAAACGGCCCGAACTGCAGAAGGTCCCCCTCATACCTTCCCGCCATATCACATCTTGATTATCTTTAGCAGTTAATTGACAATGCTTGGTAATATGTGTCTTTCTGGGACAGCGGAGAAAATGCACTGGCTCCCTCCCTGGCAGCTGATCATGAGTGCCGTTTTCTGAATGCACCTACGAGTGTTTAATAACCCCGAAAGGAGGAGACCAGCCCGCTGAACCGGTGCAGCGGATCCGCAAATGACACGGCGATTTCTGCACATCTGGACCGATGCTCAGGACGCGATCTTTCTCATTTTTCTAGGAACTAACCGCTCGCCTTTCAAAATAGGCAATATTGTATTGATCCGAAACTATTTATGCACCTCCCGTCGTTATTTGAGCCAATATAGGCTACCTACCATACAATAGCCGGTAGCACAAAAAAAAAAAAACCTTTACGTCGTACAATCTCCTCACTTTTGCTTGGCGTGTGAGCATTTACTCAGCCATTTCTAAATCCTTATGCCCCTGACGTCATGAAGGTTTTCCACACCAAAATAATTGTAAAGCACATCATCGGTAAAGCAATCCAGTGCCCGTTCAAAGTGAATCCAAGCCAAATAAATCTATTTTCCCAAGTATATTACGCTGGTCTATATTTGTAAGTGTACATGCATGTGCATATAAGCAATATATATAAACTTATCCCCTAATTTGACTAAACGGTCATATCGCATAATTCTCATATTAGAAGCAAGGTAGTTTTCTCCGAGTATAAACGGAGGGGGTTAAATGGATTGCATGTTTCCAAACGCAGATGAAATATATTATGCAGTGCTTGCTGATTTATTTATTTATTTATTTATTTGCTTCTGTACCAGTCGAGCCATATAGACCCGCTTCACATACCCTCCAATAAGCTACAGTAAGATAGGAGAAAGGTCCGTCGATCGGCTTTATGTAACGTACAGTAACGGCGTTGTGCGCTGTCCATGGTGCTAGGTTTACCCTGATATGCTTTAGCTGATTGGTGTCTGTGTGTGTGTGTGTGTGTGTGTGTGTGTGTGTGAGAGAGAGAGAGAGAGAGAGAGAGAGAGAGAGAGAGAGAAACATAATCCCTGAGCATGACCACAGATTTGCCCTGGCTGGATTCGACTTCTTACCTCGTCAGCTTACTTAATTAGACTGTCTGAGGGTGAGCAACTCCTTGATTAACCACCTTAATTTAAAACCATGGATTTTTAATATCCAACGGATCTTTGCCACAGTCCTGTGTCATTGATGGCAGCAACATAAACTATAGTAGCGTTAATGAAATTCGAGTTAGATATGCCCACATAGTGAACAGAGGTCTGCGTTAGAATGTGAGCTCACAGGCGTTTTATTTTAAAACGAATTACGTCAGGATCGTCGGCTTCATCATTACTAAGGCCAGCATCATCTTAGCATGCGAGACATTCACTACCCATACGCTAATTAATATATACATTAATACTTTAAATGCACAATCACATCACTGTTCACATAATATAATTAGGCATATATACAGTATATTACCTTTCATCCAGTCCAGTACTTGCTTGGGTGTCCATTTACTTATAGGTTCCATTACCAATGCCATCACCGATGTTACCGTCTCTTCTTAATTACCGACAGAGCAAACGTAGACGATATAGCGATATAAAATAAAAATGCAATGTATGCCGAAAGCGGGTGAGACTGGCGCGGCAGTTCAAAGCATGGCTGGTTGCATGTTCAGCGTAGAGGATGCGGTGGTGCAATCCACGCGGACACGCACGCTTCCTCCGTCTCGTTGTACGTCTCTGCCGCTCACTCCCCCAGTGCTGGCCAACTCTCGCTGAAATACTGTAAAGAAGTGAGGCTGCCGTGAACGAGCAAGTCTAGCACCCTCCTCCCTCCCTTCCCCGCACGCTGCAGAATTAACCGGGAGCCGCGCTTTGCGAGAGACATAGGGAATGGTGCAATACAAAGCGCTGTACTACGCTGCAAGCGGAACACTCGGTTCAAGACTTACCATGCAAAGTGAAAATGCGGTACATTAAGTACAATGTTAAACCCCGACCGAAGCGCTTTTAAACTTTATAACGGGAATGACCGTATTATTAAAATCACATATATCCTCATATGATGCGATATCACAAATCGATGAAAGCATGTTAATAAATCAGAAAGTATAGTTGAATATAGCCTGCCTGAAGCATTATAAGAATTACCTTGCATTTTTATTTTAGTACATTTCTACGTATGACGTAACTATCTTAATTAATTATTTAATTAAGTACAGATTAATTACTTCCCTAATTTGGGATACGCTGTTCTAGTACTTTCCAGTGTTCTGATTTCTCAATCATAATGAAATTATGTCATTTTCTCCGTAGGAACAGGTGTAAATATATAAAACTTTTGTTAACTACATAAAGATATACTACCATGTAAATATATAGGCCTACATGCAAAATGCAAATATGTTTAAACAATTGGGGAAAAGTATGAATATTTAAAACACGAAAAATAAGGATGCATATCCTGTGATAGTACTCCTTTGCTTATTTTCATGCGCAGACAGCGCGTACACAGAACATTAAAGAGGAATATGACACTTTACGAGTAATGACGCTAGTATCATGTACATTTCTTAATCTCACCTGTCCATCACTAAAACTGTTAAAGGAGGACTGGTTTACTGTTTCGGAACTTATGCAAACGCAAATAAAGACTTCAGCGGGCGTTTATTTCCATGAGTATAAGAAATCATATTCGCTGTTATTATAACTGACAGCGACCCCTGCTGTTAAACTATACTACACAGCCAGTTATTTATATAATGACATCATAGCCAAACAGAAATTGTAGATAAACGACTGTTTTCAATGACCTGATTTAACGTCGTCCGTCCAGTTAAGACGATCTGTAAGGCATTTAATTAAGTTTACCCGTGACCCAGTTTAAAACAAGTGCAAACTCACAGTATGTTTCTCGGAGTTTTAACAAGTGTGACGTGCCCTGTGCCATGCTATTGGGCGCCAGTCCCACTGCTTTATTTAGTCATGCTGGTAGAATAAAGTATTGATGTTCAACTAAATATCACACTATAGATATAGTCCTATTCAGAACATATATAACGAAATAACGTTAAAAATGTCAATGGTTTGTTTTGCCCTTCCGATTTTTTCTACTTTAAAAGTTCATTAAAATTATTTAAATATTTACACACTTTACGTATATATTAACGCAGCATCTTCCCATTTCGTATTTTAGCGAGTTGTAACTTCACACTTATTTTTAAAAAATGTTGGTAACTTCTGCAGCTTCTTCTTTTCACATAACGTTTGCACAAGGAAAAAAAAACAATGAGTTTATTGTTCATGCCATTATTAAGGAGGGTAAGTTATCTCAGATTCCTTGCCCCAATTTTAACCGAAAAGGTACTTTCTACGGCCACTGAAAATAAGTCTTCGCAGTTATATTAAAAGATTCACTCGTGAAATGTGGCTAGTAAAGGAATGAACGGACTCATCAATAAGTTATTTAATAATAAAAAGGAAGCACATTAAAATGTTACCCCTTAAGAAATTGAGAGAATACAATTTTAAAATAAATATAGGTATAAACTTCCCGAATGAGCCACCACGGTTTCTTCACCAGCTATGGCCGATGACCCACGAGCCTTCTAATGCGAGCTGTGAAGGAGCCAATGGGATGCGGATAGTAAACTGTCCCCCATCTTCATTGGCTCTGAGTGATGTCGATCACACGGAATTAAGGCTTCCTGAACGCACCTACTGTATGTGGAACGACTTGCATGTTAGCTGTTCCCCGATTGTATGAATATACCAAAATTATAAGCACATTTGGTGTGCAATTTAAGACAATGTGTTTTGTGACGCCAGTAACCCCCCCCTCCCCCATTTCACTGCTGCTCCTGCCCCTAACTTGAAGATTATCAGGAGCTACCACTCATGGCAAGGCCTAATTTTTTCATGTTTCCGGCTGCAGAATGAAATTGTCAAGCCCTTTATCAGATAATCACATTTATTTATGACATATACTCTTTTCCAAGATGTTGACTGGTGATATTTATATTGAGTCCTAGATGCCAAATAGGCTTCAAGTTGTCGATTGCCAAGTGCAGTCATGTTGGACGTAGGAAAATATTAGGTGACCTCATCTATTATCATGTTACCATCCAATCAAGTGAACTCTCGTTTGGCTGTAATCAGGCCTTTAAAGTACAGTACATACGTCATCCTGGTATTTGATAAAGGGAACTCAGGCCAAATACAGCACTCTGAAATTCTGGCATCCAGTAGAGGGACACTAACCTGGGTGTTCACCCTCTGAACTTATATACAATATCACAGGAGCCATCCAGATTCTGGGCTGTGGGGGTTTGAAATACAGTATATTACACGATAAATTAAGACCATGAAACATCTTGCTGATGAGCAGAAATTCTGGATTGGAGGCATGGAGCAATGCACAATCATTATCGTGTTGGCTAATCAACTGTTTTATCTAGTGTGACTTGCATGTTTATATACTTTTACACTTGGGTATTTTCCGAAGCCATACAGCTTAAGTATCTGGCTTAAAGATTTAACACCAAGAATACCCCCTGCAGATTGCCAACTGGTACCCTTAGCCAATACGCTATCCTAATATCATTCCGGATGTGAGTTGTTTATTGCAATTCATAGCAGGATGAGAGAATTACATACATAGTAAAAAGACAGTGTTGCACTGGGGCTTTTGAGTACATAAAAAATCATGTTTTAGACATAACCTATAATCCATAGAACCATCTGGAGCGGGAGGGGGTCCCATTCTGCAAGCCGTCAGGGGGGCTAGGGAGTGGCCAAGCAGCTGTTGTTGACATGAGGCACAGCAAATAGTGTGCAGTGACAGCATTGCGCAAAGGGGTTAGCCTTACTTCAGTTGCTATGCTCCAGGCAGATCCCAGTAGATCCCGGTAGACCCTGAAAGACCTCTGAAGACCTTGATAAACCCAGACCTGGGCAGACCCCAGTAGACCCTGACAGACCTCTCAAAGCTTCGGTAAACCCAGGCAGACCCCAGCAGATCCGGGCAGACCCCAGTAGACCCTGACAGACCTCTGAAGACCTCGATAAACCCAGACCTGAACAAACCCCAGTAGGCCCCCGGTAGACCTGGACAGACCCCAGTAGACCTTGATAGACCTGGACAGACCCCAGTAGACCTTGATAGACCTGGACTAATCCAGTAGACCCTGGTAGTCCAGGGCAGACCCCAACAGGCCTCAGTAGATCCAGGCAGATGAATGGCATTGAAAAACCTGCAGGGGTCCATAGTCCTTCAGCCTCCAAGCCCAGAAGAAGCTCCTGTACATGAATAACACTGCGAGAGGTAAGCCAGTCTGCACTCAAAGGAGTGGTTTAATATAACATTTTTATAATGCAGTTTTGCACTGGAATTCCATCCCCTGCTTCATGCTCTGTGTCTCCTGGGATGGGCTCCAGGCTCATCGCAACCTTATACAGGAAAGGCAGTTGGAAGATGGATTTTTACAGGACATCCCTGGACTGGCATTCTGTCCAGAAGGGATCCCTGTCTCATATCCTGTCATTCATGGGGCAGGTTCACCATGATCCTGTACTGGCTAAGCAGTTAACGATATACAAAGGGCTTATTTTACACATATTCTGAACACAGTTAAAATCTTACAGTTTTGTTTAAAGTTTATTTTAAACACTTTAAAGTCAAAACAGACACAGAATATTTTTTTTATTATAGAGTCCCTGTGACTCAAGTGAAAAATGCTACCAAACTTCAATATGGCTGATGCTGACCTGGATGTCATGTGACAGGGACAAGGGTGTCATGTGACAGTGATGGGCCGAATAATGTTCATTAAAAGTTCATAGCTGGCAACAGATAAAAGGCTGACATAAGAAAGAACTTCACATCTCCCAGTGTGGATGTAGCCCATAATGTGGGAGGGTGGGGTTGTATTTCTTGATATTTTACTTTATAGAATTTTCCCCTTCAGGCTCACATTGTCAGTCTGTCCACTTTCATGTCATCACTTAGGGCAGTGTGTGGCTCAGTGGGCTAAGCCTGTGTGCCTGTCATCAGAAGGTTATTGGTTCAAACCAGGCCTCAGCACATCTGTGGGACCTTGAGCAAGGCCCTTAACCCCCAACTTCCTGAGCGCCCCAACAGTTGGCTGCCCTGTGTGGACAGATTACTCTACAAAGAGCAAGTTAAGGGAGGTGTAAAGATGTAAAAAAAAAATCGATGTAAAGTATCGATTATTATCTAGCAGGGAGGGGAGTGCTTCTGTGGGTTAAGACTGCATACCCCTGATTAGAAGGTTGTTGGGTTGAATCCCACAACCAACAGAGTGATTTTACTGTTGGGCCCTTGAGCACAGTTGCCCCAGTGACGCCGGGTAACCCTGCTCTCTGGTTCTCTTATACAGCACTATAGACAGAAGCACCTGTGAAATAAATGTACCACTAATGAGAGCCAACGTCTATGATGGATACTGCATATCTGTTACTCCAGTTATGCAAAATGGAATGGATGACAATTATATAAATGTATGTAAATGAATACAGACATTTAAACAGAAATAAATTCCCACTGGTACTTGAAGAGCTCAGGATGGCTGAGGTCTCCAGAGAGACCCAGTGCAGGATCTGCAGGGCAAAGTCTGGCAGAACACATCAGATGAAAACCAGGATGTTTCAGACTGGCATTTAGGAAAGGCTGTATTCCAGTATGCTTCAAATTTTAATCTGATTTAAATAAACATTAGCGACATTAGCAAAAACACGATGTTCCCATTGAGCAAATGTGCACGCTGAATTTTACTATACAT